GTAAGTAAAAATTTTGTTATGTGGTTCAAAACATAAACCCACAGTAATTGTTTAGGAATAGGAGGGGAAAATCATCTGAGAAAGTTCTGCTTGAAACTTTTTCTTGAATAACAGAGGGTAGCCTCTATTCTATGAAGTTTAAAGGAAAAAGATTTTTCAATTAAAGATTAAATTTTGGGGGCAAGGACATTGGTTCACACCTGTAATCCCAACACTTTGGGAGGTTGAGGCAGGAGGATTGCTTGAGTTCAAGACCAGGCTGGGCAACAGTGAGACTCTCTACAGAAAATTTCAAAATTAGCTGGGCATGGTGGCACACAATTGTAGTTTCAGCTACTTGGGAGGCTCAGGTGGAAGGATTACCTGAGCCCTGGAAGTTGAGGTTGAGATAAGCCATAATTGTGTCACTGCACTCCAGCCTGGGAGACACAGTGAGACCATGACTCAAAAATGGAAATAATTTAAAAAATAACTAAATGTCTGAACAGATGGACTCACCATGGAATTCCTTTTCAATGTACCATGTTCATGGAAACTGACATCACCCACCCAGGATAACCATGTTTCATAGGAGGCACACATACTGAGTATGATTCCAATGCAGTACAGTCTTTAAACAAAGAAACAAATACGTCTCAAGTTATGACTGACAGGTCTACTAAGAAGAAACTAGAAATAAACAGTTTACATTATTCAAGGTAACTTTTTTGTTAGCTAGACATCAAAGCCGGTATGTCGTAGCTATAAAAGGTGGTGACGCAACATATTTGAATAGAGCCCAGAATCCCCAAAATTCTGATTTCCTTGTTTCTGCACAGTTAAACCTGCAACACTGAACATACGGTTCACTTCTAACCACATCAATCTGCTTACTGTCTGAAATAAACATATTTCTTTTTCTTTTTTATTTTGGACTCAAGGTGATCATGTACAGGTTTGTTACATGGGTATATTGTGTGATGGTGAAGTTTGGGCTTCGATTGAGCCCGTCACCCAGATGGTTGAGCATGGTACCCAAGGGGTGGTTTTTCAACCCTTATTCCCTCCCTTCCCCACCCCTAGGAGTCCACAGTATCTGTTGTCCCCCTCCTTATGCCTGTGTGTGTTCAGGGTTTAGCTCCCACTTATAAGTGAGACCACATGGTATTTGGTTTTCTGTTTTTGTGATAATTCACTTAGAATGATGGCCTCCAGCTACATGCACATTGCTGCAAAGGACATGACTTTGTTCTTTGTTATAACTGCGTAGTAAGGAATACATGTATTTCTTTAGAAACTTGAAATAGTCTTAAGTTGAATTAAGGTTCATCTTCTAAACAATATAGTTTCTGTTAGACTTCAGAAGCTAAAAGAAAAATGGATTTCTCTTTACTGAGTCACTTGGACACTATTTTCTTTGAGTAATGTATTACCTGTGGACTTTTGGGCAATTGTCATTTTTACTTCTAGATATCTTCTCAAGGGCTGGGGTGTTTCTCCTACCTGTATTGTATCCCCCTCCCATGATCATTGCCAGGGAACAAGCTAATGTCACATTGTCTTCAGCAAGTGCATTCACTGTACCAGAACACTTACCTCCTTGGGTTATGACTGGCTACCTGGCTGCTTCTCTGGAACCAAGGTTAATGCATTTTTCCATGTCTACTAAAACTTAAAACAATACCTGGCCCCAAGCCAGTGCTCAACAAACATTGGTCAAATGGAGGTCACACATGACTACTTGTTTATTGGAACCAAACATAAACAGCTTTTGTGGAGATACTCATTGAGCGCATCTTTAGGTTACTGTGATTAGTCTATTTCTACAAGATTAAAACAACCAAATAGGAAAAGGCAGAAATACCTAATTCGGTTTGCAGTCACATGAAAAATGAAAGCAAGAATATCATCTAACTCCCTTTCATCTTTGGACATATGAGGAAACTGAGACTTCAGAGAGGCCAAGAGATGTCACAAGGTCATTCAGGCCAGACTGAATCAATACCCGGGGTTCAAGACCCTGTTCCTTGACTTCTCTGAATGCCAAGCTGGTCCATCTAGCAGCGTAGGGCTCCATGAGGTAACTGATGTGCCATTCAGACTTAACTTGGCCCCCCACCAGCACCTCTGATCTGCCTCGCCCTGACTTCAGCAACAGTCACCAAACATCTTGGAATCATCCCTGGTTACTCTAACCTCCACACCCCATATCTAGCACACCAGCAAGCCTCTTACTTCTGCTCACACAACTCGCCCCAAATTTGGACACCTCTCACCTATTTGGTCCAAGCTGACTGGGTTTCAGTTACCTCCTCTCTGGTCTCCATCCCTGCTTCCATTCCTGCCCTTCAGGTCATTCTCAGCAGGCAGAGCCTCGGTTCAACATGGAAATCAGATCATATTATTTCTCCTACTTGGTGCCCTCCTTCTGACTCCCCATGCCTCCGCTAATGTTTTTACATCTCATGTAGAATCCAAAATTCATGCTATAGATGACAAGACTTTATGTAATTGAGATTTTCAAAGTAAGTAGAGAGTGTCCATGAGGAGTACAATCTCCTTTCAATCCATTTCAGAGTAGAGATCACTGGCCTGATACACTTGAATTTGGACCAGATATCATGAGAGAGTGCTTTCCAGAGAAAGAATTGGGAGGTGAGGAATGGCCACATACAACAAGACTGGCCTTTGTTTCAAGTCCATGTCACTATTTATGAGTGTACATTATGACCTTGAACAAGGAAACTATGCCAATAGATGTCCTCAATATATGCTGTTAACTCCTTGGGGATGAGACTGTGTCTATGCATCTTTAAACCCTCAGGATCTGGCACAGTCTTGGGATCAAATTGGGACTCAGTACATGCCTGGGCATGGAATGGTACATGGCAAAGTCATGGCTTATCCATGACAGGCATGATCACACAGTGTTACAGCAGTGCCAAGCTAACCATATATAGCTTCTTCTCCTGATTTCTCTGAGCCCACACTGAGTTGTTTGGAAGAGAATGGTGAGAGAAGGGCCATCAACAGAAAATAGGACGGTTTTTTCCAGTGCCCCAGCAAAGGCCAGAACTGTCATTCAACGCTTTCCTGCAAAACCCGATCTAGTAAAAAGTTTTGAAATGTAGTCCTTGGCTTCCAGCCCCTGAAACCTCCCAGATGTGAACACCATGGTACAATAACCACATAACTTTTCTGTAGACTCTCTTACACAGTGCCCTCTGGAGCAGCCTTCTGGAGGTGTTAAGTATTGTTAGCCCACTGCAAAGTAGAGAACTGAGTTTCAAAAAAGATTTAAGCACTCTAGCAGGATTGCAAGCAGGTGAGGGTACAGGTTTCCAACCCTTCACACCTGGCAAGACCTTGCTATCTGTTTGCTTGTTTATCTTGTCCCTTCCTTACCTCCTCCCTCTACACAATTTTTCCCCAGAGTAGCTGCTCTCGTGGTACTTTTTCAGGTAAACTTGATTTCAAGCAATCCCCTGAGATAGCGGGTGATACCCCAGGCCAGTGCATCACGGCAACTTTTTAAGAGCAGGCATTACACCTCATAACATCTGTCTGCCCTAGTCTTTTCATCAAAGCTTTTAACAAGCTACCACCACACACAATCCTTTCTCAGTGGTTGGAAAATATTTCCGGAACGATATTCAAGCACTCCGTTTTCCTGTCAGAAAAGTAATTGTGGCTGGCCGATAAACCGGTATGAAAAATCAAATTTAAATGAGCCAAATTTAAATTTATAAGAGCCTCATTTAACATGCAATTAATTTTATGCCTATAATAAAAAGAGTAAAACCTCTGGGTTCCCTGAAGAGTTAAAGAGGCTGATAAGGAAGCACTGCGCCTCGTGGAAATCAGATAACGAGATTCTTGAGCACCGCCATCCTTTTTGGTTACATAATGTTATATACAATATATTCTATTTCAGGAAGTTTTAATTTTACTGAAATTAATTATTTTTCTCTGAGTGCTCATGGGAATGTGACCAAATGGTTAGGACTGAAACACAGGCTGTGAGTTCCAGATTTCTTTTTTGAGTTCTCATTCTCTCCTTTATATTACCTCATAAGTCTTATGACTTCTGGTATTTTCGTTTCTTCCCCCAAGGAATGGGAAATGATAGAAATGGTCAGAGCTCAGCTATATTTTATGTCGCTTAAACTTTGTACCAATGAGCAAAGTGTTGAGCAAAGCCTTCATTGGCTAACACCTTTCCATTGCTATTAAAACCAATGTTGATTGGGCCCGTGGCTCACATCTGTAATTCCAGCACTTTGGGAGGCCGGGGCAAGAGTATTGCTTGAGCCCAGGAGATTGAGACAAGCCTATGCAACATAGCAAGATCTTGTCTCCACAAAAAATCAAAAAATTAGCCAGACATGGTGGCATGTGCCTGTAGTCCCAGCTACTTGGGAGGTTGAAGTGGAAGGATTGCCTGAGCCCAGGAAGTCAAGGCTATGATTACACCACCACACTCCAGTCTAGACAAGAGTGAGAACCAAACTCAAAAAAAAAAAAGCAATTGAATTGAAACCAACGTGTACATTTTCAGATGGGGTTAAAGCAGTCATTTATTTCTGATTTATGCCATTTTAATGAGTTTGCCCACCATAAACCCATTAAATAATTTTAAACGTAAACACTAATTTGCATTCTTCAAGAAGTAAAAATAAACTGTTGGCAAGATGATGCTTCTTATTCTAAACTTTTCTTCTGGATAATGCTACACACGAGTCACTGTGAAAGAGCATTACTAAGTATGTATTTTCTGGTGAGACTGCTAATATCACTGAAAAAATTCTAAGACTTTTTTTGTTGGGGGACAAAGTCAGCCTTTGATATATTTTTTTAAAGTTTCCAGGGGCCAATAAACACATATTTATATTCAATGTACTTCTAAAACTAATCTGATGCCATTTTTTTAAAAAGTGAATTCTTGAAGGAAACCAAGCTCCAACTTTCTGTCTTAGCATTCTTATTTGAACGTTTTGGGTTTTTTCTGCTTCTACTCCCAGGACTGAAGGGCTCCCTCCAGAGGCTGCAACTTGAGTACGTGGATGTGGTCTTTGCAAATCGACCAGACAGCAACACCCCCATGGAAGGTGAGTGAAGAAATTGTATAAAAGAATCTAGAATAATTTGTTTAAATTTATTGTCACACCTATTTATTTATTTATTTTCTCGAGTCAGGGTTTCACTCTGTCACCCAGGCTGGAGTGCAGCGGCATAATCATGGCTCACCTCAGCCTCGACCTCCTTGGCTCAGGTGATCCTTCTACCTCAGCCTCCTGAGTGCTGGGACTAGAGGACTAATTTCTCATTTTTTGTAGAGACAAGGTCTCACTGTGTTGCCCAGGCTGGCCTGAACCTTCTTGGCTCAAGCAATTCTCCTGCCTCAGCCTCCCAAAGTGCTAGGATTACAGGCATGAGCCACCATACCCGGCTAAGACTCTAGAATTTATTGATGCCAACCTGAGGACTTATTCCAGTCACAGTAGAAAATGAAATATGTGCAGACAGATATGATTGAATTTGAAAAATAAAAACCTTTCTGATTGATGCCTTCCAGCTTCAGTATGTCCCATAAACCACTGCTCTGCACACTGCATCTTCTTTTTGTTTTTTTAAGCAGTTGAAGGTATTGGGTTTGCAGCTGCTGCTACCTTTTTCAAGGTTTATTTCATTTCATCAACTAAAACAATAAAATTAATTGGAGGGGGAGTTTATAGCCCAGTCATCATTATTTCGGAGTGTGTCCTCTGAGGGTCTTCCTGTTTTATAATGATTCTGAGTCTGATTAGCTTCCAGCCTGCACTGACAAGTGCTCCATATAGTACCGTGGGTAGAGCTTCCCCAGGAGCAACAACCTCAAAATAAGGCTTCATTGCTGTTTGGGTTTTGATCCTCAAGGAACTGCAACATTTTATTTCCTTTCTGTCACAACTGTTTGAGAACCACAGTTGAAGTTTCTTCCTATGGACATTTTCAGAGCATTCCTAAAACCAGATTTTCTTCAATGTGCATTTATTTAGGGGGTTGGCCTAGGACATTTGAGAAAGAGGATAGTTTGGGAGGACAAATTAAAAAGAATGTTCCTGTCAATTGGAGTTTGCAGTCATATGGACTATCACTTACCTGAGGTGACAGAGGATGAAGCTATTTGGGGGAAAGAGGAAAAAAAAGGAATGTTCTGGTTATTTGAGCTTTACCATATGATATGAGTAACCAGTGTTCAAAGAATTAGAATAGTATAATCCACTTTGTCCTTGATGGTTCAAAAGACAGGGTCTTATAATAAATCAGGTTCTGTGAAATTTTATCCCTTTTTTTTCAGTTGAAAGGGTATGTTATTTGTTTTTAATTTTAGATTTGGGGGTACATGTGCAAGTTTGTTATGTAGGTATATTGTGTGACAGTGAGGCTTGGGCTTCTATTGAGCTGTCCCCCAGGTGGTGGACATGGAACTCAATGGATGATTTTTCAACCCTTACCTCCTCAGGAGTCCCTAGCGTCTGTTGTCCCCATCCTTATGCACGTGTGTATTCAGTGCTTAGCTCCCACTTTTAAGTGAGAATATGCGAGGTTCAGTTTTCTATCTCTGTGATCATTTGCTTAGAATGACGGTCTATTCTTGCTGTAGGGTTGTAGAAATGTTCAGAAGCAGTGGAAAGGTAGAAATGGTTGAAGTACTATGCATTTGTCTAGGTTGCATTTCTGACCATTAAAAAAGAATGCTATGGAAATTACTTTCCTTTCCATTTATCTCTTTCTTAGCTACAGAGAAATGTCAAAAGTATATATATTTTTATATCTAATTTTCTTCTAGAGTTTTCTGTCTTCTTGATTCTGGGTAAATTAGAATGATCATGTAGTATCAGTGTAGGAAATTACCCATGGAAATGATGTAAAACTGCAAAATTTTGCCAAAGCAAATTACAAACATTTTGTTAGTATGAGAAGTGTTCATTGCAAGAATAATATGATCTCATACAATTTTCAATGATACATTGAAACAGAGCACTCAAGCTATTTAGTCAGCAAATGTGTCAAATAAAATGTCATTTAGTGAGGTCTAAGAAAGACTGAAATTGCACCACATATTAAGTGCCTCATGACTTTCCTCTTTGGGACAGTGTTCTTTGCAATTGTACCATGTGTAGGTAGCAGAACTTCTGAGATTTTTTTTAGGATTTTTTTTTTCCCCATTCTATCCCTACTATATATTCTTATTTTCGGGATACATTATAGGAGTCTTTCAAGCAGAAAATATAATTTGCATTATATGTATAGAAGGAGGAAATTCCCAATTAGGAGCCAAGCTATGTGACACTAACAAGATAATGATATCTCTTGTATCAATACTGATTATGTGTTGAAATTTGCTAAAAGGAAGCTTAAAAAGAAATTGCTACTGCCTGATGGAGTTTGTAATTCAGCATTGTTGGAATCAAAAATTTACATTTTCCCTAAATTTCTTATATAAAATTCACAAAGCAGAATAAGAAGCTATTTTATCATGAGTCATTGTCCTAGTTCAGCAGCATAATAAAGGGTATCAAACAATGGGGATTTGCCACTTGATAAGGTCAAGGATCGTTTCACTTTGTAGCTCAGCAGCAATCAACCACCTCATGCTAGGATGTAGTCTGCACTCCTCACCCCCACCCAGGGGAGACCCACTCTTACCAGGCCCACCAAGCTCTGAGCAGCCATAAAGAAGGATAAGATTATGAACTTCGCAGCAACTTCAATGGATTTAGAGCCTGTAATACTTGGTGATCTATCACAGAAACAAAGAACTGAGTACCATAAGCAGACCCTGAACAATTATCATAATACTACAAGAAAGGGACTGGCAGTAGTGGGAAACTACCGGGGGTCGGGGGGAGGGGCACACTTCCTCAATAAGGGTACCAGATCTCAAGCCAGGCGAACTGGAGACTAAAGTGAGTCCCAAACTTTACCTGTAGGATGACCATTTGTATAACTAACCCTGAATTGTACCCCACATCTTTAAAATAAACATAAAAAATAAAATAAAATACAAGTTCTGAGGCTTGTTCCTCTGGGAGGACTTAGCAGGGACGTTCCACAGGCAATTCCTCCTGAAGGACTTCTCCAGGCCCAAATAGCCCCCATGTGAGTTTTTCCCCCACCTTCAGAAAATGTTTATCTTCAAACGATGTCTACTCGTTTGTTCCAAGGTAAGCCTGTGAAAAGGCCAGAGTTTGATACCAGTCTCTGGAAACATATTCTCTATATTCAGGCTTTTCTGCCCTTCTGTAACAGAGCAAAAGACTGATCTGGAAATAGAAGAAACAGGAATTAAAGGATTGCCAGATGGACTTGGGTACATTTGATCCTCTAAAAATTGGGGAGAAAATGGTATCTGAGCTACTTCTGGATTCCATGTGGTTAAGATTCACTTTTGTAATGATTTTGTAAACTGTATGTGTGTGTGCATGAATGAAAAAGTTGTGAATATGTTAATATGTGTATATATGAATGAACTATATAATGGGGTCCACCTTAGGAGGGCTATTAGTGTTTTAAAAATAATACATAAGGGATTATGTATAATCACCCTGGAAAATTCTACAGTTACTCTTTGTTAGCCAATGTTATCCTATAGGTTTTCATAAATTATTCAATTTCTTCTTCACATATAGTGAAAAAATCATCACCAGATAACTGCCTGACCTCATTTTTTTGTTGTTTTTTGGTAATGGCAGGAAAATCTTTAATACCATTTACATATGTTTTTTGTTTCAGTAACTCATATTCTCTGCTTTAGGTTTAATTACATTTATTTCTGTTCAGTATAAGTGACACAACAGTGATTACAAAGCATATATTGTTGAATTTTGTACACTAAATCTATATATATTAAAACTATAGTCTATCATCCCATCCCTCTGAGAGGCCAAGACAGAAGGATTGCTTGAACCCAAGAGATCAAAACCAGCTTGGGTAACATATTGAGGCCTCATCTCTACAAAAGAATAAAAAACTTAGCTGGGTGACCCTGTCGAAAAACAACAACAAAACAACAAAAACCATAAAACACCAACACTTATAGACACCTAGCATTTGTAGATTATTTTTATTGGTTCAACCATTCCTTGTCACCTCCATGGTTCCACAGTGCATGCTAACATACTTGTGCTGAAGCAGCTATTTTAAACCCAGGGGACCAATGAGCCCAGCCCAATTCAGTGCTAGCTCACCTCCATGACTAATCGATTATCAGGTAGAATGGAATTCAAGAACTGGGGCCACCATGCAAATACCAAGGGTTACGTGTGTGCCCACAATGGGTATCTCTAAGACACATTTTAAACACCTTCCATTTTATTTTATTTTACTTTATTTTTTGAGTCAAGATCTCACTCTGTTGCCCAGGCTAGAGTGCAGTGGCACAATCTCGGCCCATTGCAGCCTTTGCTTCCTGGGCTCAGGCGATCCTTCCGCCTCAGCCTCCTGAGTTAACTGGCACTACAGGCGCACCACCATGCCTGGCTAATTTTTTTAACTTTTTTGTGGAAACAAGGTCTCCCTATGTTGCCTAGGCTAGTCTTGAGCACCTGGGTTCAATTAATCCTCCTGCCTTGGCCTCCCAACGTGCTGATATTACAGGCATGAACCACCACGACCGGTCACATCTTCCATTTACATGTTATTAAAATACAAACTGCATTTATGTGATTTGTACCATGAAAAGAACGTTAATTGCGAGCATTTTTAAAATAGGCCAACATGAGTTTTAACCAGTTTCTACATGTCATATAACAACCAATTGTGCCAGAAAAAGTTTAACTGCAGCATCTTCATAATATATTGGCATCATATATCCAATTAGTTGTTGCCTTCCCTTCATCCTCTCATTCATAAATGGACCCTGAACAATTATTGCAATACTATAAGAAAGGGATTGGCAGTGGTGAGACACTGCCAGGGGAGGGGAGGGGTCACATAACATCAATAAGAGTACCTGATCTCAAACCAGGGAAAGTGGGGACCAAAGGGAGGCCCAAACTTTACCTGTACGATGACCACTTATGCACCTAACCCTGAATTGTACTCCACATCTTTAAAATAAATT